AGCTTGTCGATGTTATCAACAATTAATTGTTTGTAAAATTGTTGGAAATATTTGCAATCAGATACAAACTGGCTTTAGATAATCATTTTAACCTGAAAGTAAAGTCAAATGAATCTTATTGACCGATTTGATGTATACATGTAAAACAAATATTTTAGCTCAGAGAAACTCAAACAAATCTTAATTCCTGTATTGTCTAATTAGCAACACATTGGCTAACAAAAATTAAAGTCAGGCAGACATGATCAATGGACATTGATTCGTTAAGGTCAATGACGGGCTACACTCGTATTGAACGTACCTTTGTGAACCCTCCATAATGACCTCAAGCCCACAGATGAAAGCTTCTGACGTCATTACGTAAACCCCTGTAATACGATATTTCATTGCTTTGTGTGGGGACACGTTATTAGACTCACCAAATACCTTAATTCGGAATTGCCCCCACTTTATTACACAGAATTAAAACTTTTAATATAAATGCAAAATCACAGCTTCCCCAGGGACAAAACAAAATGCTGTCCTTTCATAAAATAGGAAACACATAAGATCATGTGATTAAGCACGAAATCATAAATACGTATTCAGGAAAAAGCAAGGAATCGGCTGATTTCAATCAGAAAAAAAATCTCTATGCAAATAATGCCGAATATTTCCCATGTAAGAAATCCTGTGACAAGAGAAATAGGGGACGTATTTAGATGAAATTCTGGATTTTTCCCCCCAAATTCTTACTTCTAAAACTTAACTTTTAGCTGATAATGTTGCCATTCTACCTTGTTTTCAGTATTTATATATGGTTCATGATCTTGAATCTTTGTAAATTTACGAAAATTATTCTCTCCTGTTCTTGTGAGTTCCAAAAATACACAATGTCCTTAAAAGGAAAAACAGGTCACATAAAATGCATGTACACGAATAAGCGAAGTCTTTCCCCGATAAATGTCGATTTATGTCTTTAGAAGGATTTAAATATCGAAATCATTTTTAGCCTCTTAATGCAAAAGGACACAAAAGGTGGTATTCAAATCGGAAATACAGAAGACGCATCTATGAAAAATAGTTATAATATATGGATTTTGAAAACTTACAAAAAGTTTTACAACATACTTATATGAAAATTTTAAAGTTAATAAAGATTTCTTTATTGCATGGAATTTAATCAAATTTTTGATTCAAACCATGGAGGAAAAAAGTTCCATGCCTGAAACGTGTGGGAAAAGGGTCGGTGAAGTACAGAAATAAGAGATCTTAATGCGTTCTGTCTGAATAAAATCAATCTATCATATTTTTAGCACTGAAGATAGATAAATTATCTCATTGTTTATGAATAATACATACATGTAGAATATGGTTCGATCTTCTTGAAACAAGAATAATATTCATGTGTATCAGCTCTTTGTCCTGAACCATAGATTATACTGTATTTCAATGCTTGGGTTGTTTAATAATCTAGGATACAAAATACAAAAACAGTTTAAGCTTAGGATTAGATCAAAGATTAATTGCCGACTAGTTATCGACGTGGTTACGTTTTATTTACTCATTATAAGACCAAGTTTAATATGCCTCAATAGCGTTCGATAACTTGTCATCCCAAACAGAAGTAACAAAAACAAAAAAAAAAAACCAAAAAAAAAAACCAAAAAAAAAAAAAAGAAAACCAAAAAAAAAAAAACAAACAAAAAAAAACAATAATACCAGAACACTTATATTATCTAGTCAAAAATCCCAGATTTAAAATATAAATGCTTCAAACATACAGGGAAAAAAATGTCTGAAACATTTCCATCCAGCCAATTGATATATGAATTTTAAATATGTTTATAACGTTGAACATAAAAATATTGAATGAATATATGTTTCTCGTTTTATATGCTTGCTTTATACATTTATTACATGTAGTCCTAATTGCCTTTCTGTGTTATTTGTCCATTCTTCTGGTATCATTCTTTTTTCCCCCCTTGTTTTACTGAATATTTTCAAAAGTGTTTTCTTCATAAAAAATAAAGAAATGAAATTAAGGCAAAACTGATTAAAAAATTTAAACACATTGCAGAGCTGAGAACTAATCTATTATATTACAATGAATCTTAAAAGATATATTTTTTGCTCAAAATTCCATCAAAACAAAACAAATTGGGAGCAGAGCAAACACGGACCTCTATAAATATCAGAGGTGGGACCAGGTGCCATGAAGGAGTAAGCATCCCCTGTCGACCGCTCATATCCACCGTTTACTCATTGTCATGATCAGGCAAACGGAAAAATCCCTAGACAATTCAGTCTTAAAATATTAATGGCTTAACATTTGTATGAAATACATCAGTCAGCATTCGACTTCATGATAAATTGTATTTGCTGACAAGGTCATTGTGTCGAGAATAGAACTGGCAAAACGTTGACTTTAAACGAGACTGTTGATATCGTTGTTTCATCAACTTGTTTGTCAATAGCTTGCCTCGTTTAGAAATTGTTCGTACGTGGAGCATGCTCTTGTGTATCAAATCGACTTGGAAATATAAACCCCAAATGCAGGTGATAAAGATATACTGCTACATAAGTTAAGGAAGTTGACGATAGAAAAGCTAAATTCCTCACGTTTATCTGTTTTTGTTAGGTTACCATTAACGTTTTTTTTTTCTAGTAAAATGTCCAAATATGAAACAGACGTTTCAGACTCTACCATCTAGTTATCGTGAGCATGTCGACATAACTCAGACTAAGCTTAAGCACATTAACAATCAAATTCTGATTCTCTCTGACGGGTTCAAGCTCTTTTCTTTTATACTCATTAGATAATGATTTATAGATGTAATCTTTACAAATCCAGATTGTGTACTAATTACGAATATTAACTAATTACGATATTAACTGTCTCTCTTTATATTGACTTTATTTCACTGGAGTTGCAGGTCTTGTCTTCCTGCAGTCACATGATACAATCATGGCTTAATTCTCCAGTCTCATGGTACAGTCATGGTTAAAGTTTACAGTTACATGGTACAGCCATGGTTAAAGTTTACAATTACATGGTACAGTCATGGTTAAAGTCTAGTAGTCTGAAGTGTAGTACATGACAGTCAGGAATGGATGTTAATGCAGGCTGTCCAGCACTCTTTCACGAAAACTTAGGGCGACTTTTAGGAACTAAATTAAGAAATTTTAGAACTCATTTAGGACTAAAGTTAGATTTTTTTTCACTAAACAAGGGCAGTACCAGACATTTAAATAGAATATCCTTCGCAAATTTGACAATAAACTCAAAAAAAAAAAAAAAAAAAAAAAAAAAAAGTACAGAGAGAACGTCTTACCACTGGTCAAATGCCTTTCACTGCATAATCTAATTAGAACTGTAAACTACATTAGGACACATTTTGAATGAATGCATTTTCAAAAAGGGTAGAGTAGAAATCTTTAAAAAAGGGAAAAATTACGTGAAAAATTAGAGCTTTTTGGGATGAGGGTTTCACTTAAATTCAACAATTTTAAAATAATTTTATGAAAACCAAGGAAAATTATTTCTTTTTAGGAATTTTAGGGCGCCGGACAGCCTGTAATTGAGAATTTTTAGCTCACGTGATCCGAAAGCTCAGGTGAGTTTTTTTCTGCATGATCACATGTTGTCTGGCGTCCGTCTGTCTGTATAAACTTTGCACATTTTTGACTTCTTCTCCAGAACCAATGGGCCAATGTCAACCAAACATGCCACAAAGCATCCTTGGGTGAAGAGGATTAAAGTTTCTTCAAATGGGGGGCCACGCCCTCTTTCAAGGGGCGATTAAGAATTAGTAAAAATTTAGAGGCATCTTTCAAATATTTTCGTCTAAAGAACCACTTAACCAAAAAGGTTGAAACTTAAATGAAAGCTTTATTTTATAGTTTACTTTCGTGTTTGATCAAATTATGACCCCAGGTGAAGGGTGGGGCCACAATGGGTGATCAAAGTTTTCATAGGAATATATATAGAAAAATTTTAAAAATCTACTCAAGAACAGCAAAAGCATAATTAGTGATATTGATATGAAAGCGTCCTCAGCGAGTGTAGATTAAACTTTGTTCAAATCATGACCCCCTGGTGGAAGGGTGGGACCACAGTGGATGATAGTTTTACATAGAGAAAAATCTTAAGAAGTCTTCTTCTCAAGAATAGCAGCGGCAAGATGATTAGTCAAATCGATATGGAAGCAGTCTCAGGTAGTGTTGATTCAAATTTATTAAAATCATGACTCCTTGGGAGTAGAGTGTGGCCACAATGGACAATCAAAGTTTTATTTAGGGATATATAGGAAAAAAATCTGCTGATGAATAGCAGGACCATAGCGACGATGAATAGCAGGGCCATAGTAACTCAGGTGATCGTGTAGGTAAGCATGGGCCCCTTGTCGTAATTTTTTTTAGGGGGGGTCTCATGAACAAGCCTCTTTTCTTCACAAATGACTTTTGTTCCATGTCTCCTGACTTTGGGAGAGCGGGTATCCAAGGTCATTTTTTGGTTAGTTTACTATACAGGTTTCTTCACTACGAAAATCCTTGGGGGGATGTTTCCAGATCCACTTGTCCCTCCCCATACTTCTGAATGGTATTATAGACAATATACATTGTATGTCCTGCAGAGTCTCACACTCTCCCTTTGGAAAGTTGCATAACACTATAACCTCAGACATTAAGTTGACTCAATCAGAACTTTTCTTCTATGAATTTTATAGTAATGATGGGCTTACCAATATGAGAACATTATAATTATGTATCTGTGTTTAAGAAACATAATTTTACGCAAGTAAAACACTTCCACCACCCCGAGTTGGTAAAGGGCGGTAACAAACTGAGGCACATCACAGTGACATCACTAACATACTGTATATGTCCTGTTAATTGTTACATTGTGAAATTAGCCGCTGAATCCGTTTGCATTTCAGACATAACTGTATATTGAGGCAGATTTTTTTTTATGTATGAAACACAATGCCGTGGTTATACAAACTGAATCAAAAAATTAATTCTATAAAAAGCTTTTTTATTTAATTCATTGAATTAAAACACATATTCTATATACACAATTCATTCTGATTACAAGACCATTTATTATTAGATCACATTACAAATACACATCTCACATCAAACAGTATCATAGTATTTACATGTAATACACATAAATTTATTTTCTGTGCAAAATGAAGAACAAATATACAGTATGCTGGAGATTAATAGCCTCATTAATCAATCATTTTCCATGAAAAGCTAAAACTAAATCACATTAAAAAAAATCGCCTCATTTTAATGAAGACAATGGACATCATGCACCACCTCTCTAACATACAATGTACATGTAATCATGCACCACCATTCTAACATACAATGTACATGTAATCATGCACCACCATTCTAACATACAATGTACATGTAATCATGCACCACCATTCTAACATACAATGTACATGTAATCATGCACCACCTTTCTAACATACAATGCACATGTAATCATGCACCAACTAGTGTTGATACAACTTGTTAAGGCTGTACAAACACTGGTATGTCACAATTCCTCACAGAGTTATTTTTAAATTACATCTTTTACAGAGTAGAAACTGTGCGGATCAGAAAACAGTTCAGACAGAGATACCTCTCTCACTGTTTGTGAAAACAGAACCATTCTCTGTAGAATAGTCTGATCCATATATAGGTCAGTGGTGAGAGGGGGATATCCTAAGTCCTGGTCAGTACTGGTGTGAGAATTCCTCAGGGTGGGGGTCAATCAGCTGAATTCAGTGTCTGACCAGGCACTCTCTACATCACTGCCCTCAAACTCCTCCTGAAACAAAGTGTACACGTGTCATACAGTCCATGGTAAACCCAAATAATGCACAATTACATGTAATACAGAACTTTGTATTGTAAACAAAGGTTATTATATTCACTCATTCAAACAACAATTTTACCATATGTGATATTTGTCCACAGATTTGTTAAAAGAGAAATAACTCTCTCTGTGTTGCTTTCATCTTGGTTTAGAATTCATCCAATTGATTGCAAGAAAATGCAAGAGGCCCACGGGCTTGCCTGAGTCACTTGACTCTGCTGTTCTTAAGAATTTTCCATCATTATTCCAATAAAAAATATTACCCCCAAATTGTGGCCCCACCCTTGCTTCAAAGGATTATGATTTAACTTAACATGAATCCACACAATACGGGTTTCAGGATGATTTTTAAATCAAACTTTCATTTCCAATTTTTCAAACACAAAGAATTTCGAAATTTAGACAAATGATATGAATGTCACTCTAACTGTGTACTCATTAAGTGAAATGTTATCTTTTCCTGATTCCAAAAATTTTCCTTTTTTAATGAGATGACCTTGACCTTTGACCCACCTCTTCATCACTGTTATCCATGTCCTCCACTCCGACATCATACGCACTCTCCAGCCCCATATCATTCTGCTTCTCCACCCTCTCCATGCCCTCCCTCACACGGACATTAGATGGGTCTAAACTAAAAATAGAAACACGGACATTAGACATGTCTAAACTAAAAATAGAAATATGGACATAAGAGGGATCCAAAATAAAAACTCAAATATGGACATAAGATGGGTCCAAACTGAAAAGTAGAAATAAGGACATTAGATGGGTCTAAACTAAAAGTAAAAATAAGGACAAAAGATCGGTCAAAACTAAAAGTAGAAATATAGACATTAGATTGATTCAATATGGAGATTAGATGGGTCCAAACTAAGAATAGAAATATGGACAATGGATTAATCCAATCTAAAAACAGAAATACAAGAACCACGAAGCTTACAATCTGTTGTTCCCCCTTATCTACAGGCCTACCAATCTTAGTATGAAGTGATTCAGTTTTATGGAAGAAGCTGAAAATACTCCAAGGATTACAGACAATGTATGATGTCAAACAAAAAAGGAAAATAGTCAGAAATGTGACTGACTCAGTTGATCAAATTTGATCTTAAAAAATCGTCATTAAATATTACGATTTAACTCAGAATGAAAATGGTCTTGTTACCTCAGTGCTATACTAAACTGGTCGAGTGCTTCTTGGTGTTCATGGGTCTGCGTGAGGAATTCTGCTAACATCTGGTGAAGTCGACATGTGCTGTGGGTCTCCAGTTGTTTTCGTAATCTGAATAAAAAATTTGGTAAAACTGCCATTTTCTATCACATAATAATATCATGACAATTCCCGATTTGAGTTAAGGTTCAATGATTGAAAGACTTGAACAGTTTCTAAAGTATCAGTTCCTTTCAGGCAAACATCTTGAGATAAACTGTATCATTCACTCTATCTGTGTATATCCATCTCATAAACATTTGGCTTTTTACCAATAACATTGTTTGTATTGAATATCTACCTATCAATATGCATCCTTTTTACCTGTTACTCTTATCATATTACTCGTACTTTACTCTCTTTCTATCCTCCATTTTGCCAGTAACATTAACAATACTTGCATATTCATTACAATTCTTTTCCACTGTCCTCCAAGTAAAATTCATCATAGTTCTCTTTCCTCTATGGTATCAGTAACATTTCCCCAGTTCCTTACATCTATATCCCCTTTAATACCATGAATAACATATCTATTCTGGTCTTGTACCAGTAAGATCCCCTGTCATACCAGTAATATTCCCCATACTTTCATCTCTATCCCCTGTCACACCAGTAATATTCCCCATACTTACATCTCTATCCCCTGTAATACGAGTAACATTCCCCCTACTTACATCTCTATCCCCTGCCATACCAGTAACATTCCCCATAATTACGTCTCTATCTCCTGTCATACCAGTAACATTCCCCATACTCATGTCTCTATCCCCTGTCATACCAGTAACACCCCTCATACTCTCTATCCCCTGTCATACCAGTAACATTCCCCATAATTACGTCTCTGTCTCCTGTCATACCAGTAACATTCCCCATACTTACATCTCTATCCCCTGTCATACCAGTAACATTCCCCATAATTACGTCTCTATCTCCTGTCATACCAGTAACATTCCCCATACTTACATCTCTATCCCCTGTCATACCAGTAATATTCCCCATACTTTCATCTCTATCCTCTGTCATACCAGTATCTTTCCCCATACTATCATCTCTATTCCCTGTCATACCAGTAACATTCCCGATATTTATGTCTCTATCCCCTGTCATACCAGTAACATTCTCCATAATTACGTCTCTATCTCCTGTCATACCAGTAACATTCCCCATACTTACATCTCTATCCCCTGTCATACCAGTAACATTCCCCATACTTACATCTCTATCCCCTGTCACACCAGTAACATTCCCCATTCTAACATCTCTATCCCCTGTCATACCAGTAACATTCCCCATACTTACATCTCTATCCTCTGTCATACCAGTAACATTCCCCATACTTACATCTCTATCCTCTGTCATATCAGTAACATTCCCCATAATTACATCTCTATCTCCTGTCATACCAGTTACATTCCCCATACTTATGTCTCTATTCCCTGTCATACCAGTATGATTTTTCATACTTACATCTCTATTCCCTTATCATACTGCTGCTCCTGACCTAGAATCTCCACCATTATATACACAGCCTCTAGGAATGAAGGATCCAACTTCATAGCTTTCTCTAGATATGGCTTAGCCTGAAATAGCATGTATAGTAAAACAGAAGACCTAAATTGTATTCAGTAAAATGGAAATTTGACGATCAGTCAAATCAGATATTTTGAATAAACATCAGGCTTTTAGATTACTAACAATTTAAAAATTCCTGTTTTGGTTGATAAATAAATGAGCAATTGTAGAATTATATAAACTAGAGATGATTCTTAATTTCATTGCTGATACAGCAAATGGATGTTTTCTCTTTGTTTTAACAGTTTACTTAGATGTTCTAACCTTTATGTATCAGTAAGCTGTAACTTTAAAATGTTCTTACCTTTGCTGTAACTGTTGGTGTCTTGGCAAGAACTGAGGCATACAGCTATAACAAAACATAAAGACATATAAATAGGAAGTGTATTATAGAAAAGTAAATGCATAAGAGATTCAGATTTCATCAAGATGTAATTAACATCTTGATGAAATCTAATTTTTTAGGTCACCTGAGTCACTCAGGTGACCTATTGCTATCCGTTTTTGCCTGTCGTCGTGCGTCGTCCGTCAACTTTTGAACATTTTCAACTTCTTCTCTAGAACCGCTCAACCAATTTCAACCAAATTTGGCATATAGCTTCTTTGGGTGAAGGGGAACATAAATTGTGAATTTCATGGTCCCTGCCCCCCCTGGGTGGGGCTAAAACCACCAAAATTGATGCAATCTTTAAAAATCTTCTTCTTTACTCCTGGACATCAAGCAATCAAATTGTTGACATGATTGTAATAAGCATTGGTCCCTCTACCTTAATTGTGAAATTCATGGCCCCAGGGTCAGGGGTTCTGGTGCTAGGGCGGGGCTTTATTGATTATATAGTGAAAATGCATTAATTCTTTGAAAATCTTCTTCTCTGCTCCTGGGTATTATGTAAACAAACTAAGTGCATGGTTATGACAAGCATTGATGCCTTTTCCAAAATTGTGAAATTCATGGCCCCAGGGTCAGGGGTTCTGGTGTTGGGGGGGGGGGCTCTATTGATTATATAGTGAAAATGCATTAATTCTTTGAAAATCTTCTTCTCTGCTCCTGGGTATTATTTAAACAAACTAAGTGCATGGTTATGACAAGCATTGATGCCTTTTCCAAAATTGTGAAATTCATGGCCCCTGGGTCAGGGGTTCTGGTGTTTGGGGGGGGGAGGCTCTATTGATTATATAGTGAAAATGCATTAATTCTTTAAAAATCTTCTATTTGCTCCTAACTGGATATTATTTAAACAAACTAAGTGCATGGTAGGACAAGTAACGGTGCCTTTTTCCAAAATTGTGAAATTCATGGCCCTGGGTCAGGGGTTCTGGTGTTAGGGCCGGGCTCTATTGATTATATAGTGAAAATGCATTAATTCTTTGAAAATCCTCTTCTCTGCTCCTGGGTATTATATAAACAAACTAAGTGCATGGTTATGACGAGCATTGATGCCTTTTCCAAAATTGTGAAATTCATGGTCCCTGGGTCAGGGGTTCTGGTGTTGGGGGGGGGGGGCTCTATTGATTATATAGTGAAAATGCATTAATTCTTTGAAAATCTTCTTGTCTGCTCCTGGGTATTATTTAAACAAACTAAGTGCATGGTTATGACAAGCATTGATGCCTTTTCCAAAATTGTGAAATTCATGGCCCCTGAGTCAGGGGTTCTGGTGTTTGGTGGTGGTGGTGGTGGGGGGGGCTCTATTGATTATATAGTGAAAATGCATTAATTCTTTTTTTTGGGGGGGGGGGGGTCTCTAATGATTACATAGTAAACAAGAGGCCCAAGGACCTTAACAGTCACCTGAGTATAATACAACAATTTAGAGGATCCATAGAATATAAAATGAACTGAAAGGTGAAGCTTTGTTGCCCAAAAGCAAGAAAAATAGGGTGATCAGGATCAACAAATTAGTCTAGTATTCATTAACAGTTCATAAATTGGGTTTTAATCTGTTCCCCATTTATCACTCTTACCAGACAGTATATAAACAAAAAATCAGTGCTTCTGTACTCTTTTATTTCTTGTTGGAATCTCTTACATTGGCCCCTTGGTCTTTGATGAACATTTCATAAGACAAGTTATTTTTGTCTCATTTTTATTTATCTATTACTTACAAGTCTACCTGATCATTAAAACTATGAAAGTACTTTTTGTATTATACAATAAAAATTCTTGCATAATTCTCTTATTCTAATAACCTTTCAAGTACTATTTACAGTGATTAATTATCACAAGTAAATGGCAAAGGGGAATAACTCCTCTCAGTCGAATACAAATTAAGAGATCCCTGGCCAGGACCAAAACACTTGACCAAATGGTCCTGATGTTCAAAAATCTGGAAAAAATACCCTTCCTTATTAAGACTTTTACTCTTTTTGCCTCTGATATGCCCAGGTGCATAGAAGATTTATAAAGCATTAATGCATTTTCACTACATATAATAAATAGTGCCCCACCCTAACATCAGAACCTCTGATCCAGGCCTAGGGTCATGAAATTCACAATTTTGGAAGAGGCATCCTTGCTTATCATAACCATGTATTTGTTTAAATAATACCCAGGAGAAGAGAAGAAAATTTTCAAAGAAATAATGCACTTTCACTATATGATCTATATAGCCCCCCCCCCCCCAGTACTAGAACCCCTGACCCTGGGCCATGAATTTCACAATTTTGGTAGAGTCACTCTTGCTTATTATAACTATGTATTTAATTTGTTTAAATAATACCCAGGAGTAGAGAAGAAGATTTTCAAAGAAATAATGCACTTTCACTATATGATCTATATAGCCCCGCCCTAGCACCAGAACCCCTGACCCTGGGGCTATGAATTTCACAATTTTGGAAAAGGCATCAATGCTTGTCATAACCATGCACTTAGTTTGTTTACATAATACCCAGGAGCAGAGAAGAAGATTTTCAAAGAAATAATGCACTTTCACTATATGATCTATATAGCCCCGCCCTAGCACCAGAACCCCTGACCTTGGGGCTATGAATTTCAAAATTTTGGTAGAGTCACCCTCGCTTATCATAACTATGTATTCAATTTGTTTCAATAATACCCAGGAGTAGAGAAGAGGATTTTCAAAGAAATAATGCACTTTCACTATATGATCTATATAGCCCCGCCCTAGCACCAGAACCCCTGACCCTGGGGCTATGAATTTCATAATTTTGGTAGAGTCACCCTCGCTTATCATAACTATGTATTCAATTTGTTTAAATAATACCCAGGAGTAGAGAAGAAGATTTTCAAAGAAATAATGTATTTTCACTATATGATCTATATAGCCCCGCCCTAGCACCAGAACCCCTGACCCTGGGGTCATTAATTTCACAATTTTGGTAGAGTCACCCTTGCTTATCATAACTATGTATTCAGTTTGTTTCAATAATACCCAGGAGTAGAGAAGAAGATTTTCAAAGAAATAATGCATTTTCACTATATGATCTATATAAACCCGCCCTAGCACCAGAACCCCTGACCCTGGGGCCATGAATTTCACAATTTTGATAGAATCACCCTTGCTTATCATAACTATGTATTTAATTTGTTTAAGTAATACCCAGGAGTAGAGAAGAAGATTTTCAAAGAAATAATGCACTTTCACTATATGATTTATATAGCCCCGCCCTAGCACCAGAACCCCTGACCCTGGGGCCATGAATTTCACAATTTTGGTAGAGGGCTCAATGCTTATTACAATCATGTCTACAGTTTGACTGCTTGATGTCCAGGAGTAAAGAAGAAGATTTTTAAAGATTGCATTAATTTTGATAGTTTTGGCCCCACCCCTCAGGCCCAAGGGGGGCAGGGGCCATGAATTTCACAATTTTTGTTCCCCTTCACCCATAGATGCTATATGCCAAAATTGGTTGAAATTAGTTTGCTGGTTCCAGAGAAGAAGCTGAAAATGTTGAAAAGTGTACGACCGACGAACGACGGACAATGCACGACGACGGACGAAAAGAGATAGCAATAGGTCACCTGAGTGACTCAGGTGACCTAAAAATGCAATGATTCTTTGAAAATCTTCTCCTTTTCTCCTGGGTATTAAGCCAATGAACAAAGAATATAGTTATGATGAGTAAGAGTGCCTCTTCCAAAATTGTGAATTTTATGCCCTCTGTGTCAAGGTTCTGGTGTTAGGGCAGGGCTCAGGGCAAAATTGATACATGATACTCAGGTGACCTATAAGGCCCGTGGGCCTCTTGTTTATGATTTTCTTAAAACAAATTTCTTGAATCTTACCAACAGATTCCTGCTTTAGAAGCTCTAGCTATAGATTTTATGACCCCTTTACCAACAACTCACCGTGAGCGTCCTTGCTGTGGTGCCAAGAGTTTTGATTGCTTTTCCTGCCCAGGTCAAGGCTTCTCTGTGTCTATATAGAGCCATGTAACACTGTATCAACCCTGGAAGTCGGACAGGAATAATGCTTTAAAATAGGATGCAAATAATTGTCCAGTTTAATCAAGTGATTTACCCCATGTTGTATCCCATACACCCTGAGGCCACCTAATGTATGGAATACAACCCAGGGTAAATTCCCGTACACCCTGTTATTTCCTATGTAGCCAAAAAATTCGTTACTTAAGTCCAATGAATAGTGTCTAAAACTGTTGATAAGATTAAATATGTGCTAAAATGCATCATGATGTCATGTTATTAGCTTTTTGTGATGGAGAAACTATGTGATGTCCCGTTATTTACCCCTCGCTTCAGCCGGGTGTACAAAACTTTACAACTGGCTTGTCAACCAATCAAATCCTGTGTAACAAGTTACATAGGAAATAAAAATAGCATAACTTCACAAAATACTGAACAGATTACACAAATGAAGACTTGTGAACATCATTAAAGCATTTCATGTAACACTCACCAATGAAAAAGACAAGAGGCCCATGGGCCTTGAATCGCTCTTCTGATAAACTGTACAACCTATCACTTCTATTTGAAGCCTCGAAGTATCCTGTATATTTACATAAACCCTTGAAATTCCAATTCACAATCTGAGAACCCAAGATGATTCTAAGCCAGTTAGTATCTGAGAGTTGGTCATGGTGACCTACTTATCACTTGTCATTCTCTGAGGACCCATCAACTAAGTTTGATGATTCTAAGCCAATTAATACCTAAAATATTTTTTAAAATTATAATCATAAAATTTTATAAGTAGGTCAAAGTGACCTACTTTTCAATTGTTTTACTCCAAGGACCCAAGATGCATCAACTGACAAAGTTTGATGATTCTAAGCCAATTAGTACCTGTAATATTTAATTAAAGCCATAAATTTTCAAAAGTAGGTCACCGTGACCTACTTTTCAGTTGCTGTACTCCGAGGACCAAAGATACATCGACTGACAAAGTTTGATGATTCTAGCCAATAAGCACCCAAAATATTTAATTACAGCCATAAATTTTCAAAAGTAGGTCACAGTGACCTACTTTTCAGTCAACCTACTCAGAGGACCAAAGATGCATCAACTGACAAATTTTGACGATTCTAAGCCAAATAATTCCTGAAAATATTAAATACAGCCATAAAATTTCAAAAGTAGGTCACCGTGACCTACTTTTCAGTTGTTGTATTCCGAGGACCCAAGATGCATCAACTGACAAAGTTTAATGATTCTAAGCCAATTAGTACCCGAAATATTTGATTAAAGCCATAAATTTTCAAAAGTAGGTCACCGTGACCTACTTTTCAGTTGTTGTACTCCGAGGACCCATGACGCATAAACTGACAAAGTTTTATGATTCTAAGCCAATTAGTACCCAAAATATTTTATTAAAGCCATAAATTTTCAGAAAGTAGGTCACGGTGACCTACTTTTTAGTCGACCTACTCCGAAGACCCATGATGCATCAACTGACAAAGTTTGATGATTCTAAGCCAATTAGTACCCGAAATATTTAATTAAAGCCATAAATTTTCAAAAGTAGGTCACGGTGACCTACTTTTTAGTCGATCTACTCTGAAGACCCAAGATGCATCAACTGACAAAGTTTGATGATTCTAAGCCAATTAGTACCTGAAATATTTAATTAACGCCATAAATTTTCAAAAGTAGGTCACTGTGACCTACTGTTTAGTCGACCTACTCCGAAGACCCAAGATGCATCAACTGACAAAGTTTGATGATTCTAAGCCAATTAGTACCTGAAATATTTAATTATAGTCATATAAATTGAAAAGTAGGTCACGGTGACCTACTTTTCAGTTGACCTTTTTTGAGGACCCAAGATGCATCAACTTACAAAGTTTCATGATCATAGGACTTAAAATGTCCAAATTATGCCTCTAAAACGCTTTGAAATCGAATGCCTGCAAAGTTCAAAAAGTAGGTCACTGTGACCTACTTTTTAATAAATATGTTTTATGGCCCCAAGAGGCATCATCTTACAAGATTTAATGATTCTAAGCCTCCCTGTATTCGAATTAATGACCTTAATTGTTTTAAAAAAGATTAGCCATAAAATTCAAAAAGTAGGTCAAGGTGACCTACTTTTTAAGTGACGTACTTTGACGACCCAAGATGCATCAACTGACAAAGTTTGATGATCATAGGCCTTAAATTGTTCGAAATATGCCTCTAAATCATTATGAAAAAGAATGGCCGCAAAATTTGAAAAGTAGGTCACTGTGACCTACTTTTGAGTCAACATGATATGAGGTCCTTAGATGCACCAACTGACAAGATTTGATGATCGTAGTCCTTATAGTAAGCAAAATATCAACATTTTAATAAAATGTAATTTTTGGTCAACTTTGAAGTGACCTTGAGACCACGCCCTTTGCCCCAGGGTAAATCCCCGTGCAAATTTTAATCTACAACATATCCTCATCCTTTTGTGTAAGTTTGGTGATAATCTGCCCAGTGGTTCTTGAGAAGAAGATTTTTTAGCAACCAGTACTTTTGTTTCTATTTTCCTAATTATCTCCCCTTGTTAAAGGGTCACAACCCCAGTTTTAGTATAAAAGGGAGCCCTTGGGCCAAGGATACCCTGTGACAAATTTGACAATAATTGGCCAAGGGGTTCTTGAGTTATGGCCCATATTCTAAAAAGTTTATGCACACCGCACAAATGGCCATAGCATTAGCTCTTTGAGCCTTTGGCTCAGAAGAGCTAAAAATGCACATGTACATATGTACATTGAAATTATCATAAGTGATTTGTTTTGTCTGAAAATTTTCCTCTCAGATTTATTTTAGAAACATCTTAATCTCCTATTTTAAATTGATATTTTTATGTGTGGAAGCCTCATATCTGTGTGGAGCTAGTCTCAGCACTTCCTTCATGTGTGGAGTGGCATTATCCACTTTCTTACCTGTGTAAGCCATGTGGCATTATCCACTTTCTTACTGGTGTAAGCCTCGTATCTGTGTGGAGCTAGCCTCAATGCTTCCTTCATGTGTGGAGTGGCATCATCCGCTTTCTTACCTGTGTAAGCCTCATATCTGTGCGGAGCTAGCCTCAGCGCTTCCTTCATGTGTGGAGTGGGATTATCCACTTTCTTACCTGTGTAAGCCTCATATCTGTGTGGAGCTAGCCTCAGTGCTTCCTTCATATGTGGAGTGGCATCATCCACTTTTTTCAGCTCCAGTAAAGCTGTACCTTTCAGCAGGAAGGCCTCAATGTTGTATGGATCAAGTGTGTTTGCCTGTCAGAGTAAGAAAGGCACTAAATGAGACTGTAGCTCAGCTGGTTTGTACTGAAATAATCTATATCTTGATGTAAGTGCATCTGAACAATTTTTAATCAATTCATATTGTGATGACAAAAAACACTGCTAATTCAGATAGAAAATAAACACACAAAATGTTTATTATATTAATGTAATCTACATTATATTTATATTAGGTTTTATTACCAGATAGACTTCATACTGGAATAGTAGCATAATGAAATATAACACTATAATTATTCTACAGTATGTGTAATTTTAATTAGAAACTAAGGACAGCAATACCCTCAGAACTGACAACTGCCACATAAAATTATGTATTTGAATTCCATATTTTTTAACCAAATGAGCGTCAATACATTTAACATGTTTAAATCCAAGAAACACTGTAGAAGGATCAGCATTTCATAACAATTCTTAACAAAGGCAGAATTTGCTTTAAGTAAAGATGGATGGACACCAGGCAATCTGTACATGTATGAATGCATGTAAAATTGTTTAGTCTATGATTAGTGTAATCATCTCATTGGTGATATTCTCTGTTCACATGTCAGTCTTTATTGTACATTCTGTAGTTTGTAATCATTTATAAACTACATACTTAGATACAGATATGAAGTATCTAACCTTTTGTGCAAAGTAGATTGTTTTGGAGACTTTTCTGGTTGCTAGGCAATAGTAACCAAGGGAGATCCAGGGTTCTGCTGCTTGTTCTGTGATCTTCAGTAACTGCTGGGACAATCTGTCAACAAAGAAATATAACAATTCCTGTGTACACAGATGTCTGAGAATATTAAATTCATCAACTTTGATGTGTAACAAAGCTGTTCATGTAATTTGATATACTCTCAAAACAACTTCAAAATCTGTGAGATTTTCTTTGTCTGTTATGATATACACAGTACATGTACATATACTGTGTTTGAAATTAAAAGATAAACTAACTATAGTCCACCATCTTTAGCTTTAATTCAGTTTTTATAGAAAATTTGAACATGCTAATTAGGGATATATATTTACTTGTGTATTAAAAAACAGAGACAATATTTATTTTACCTATTCTGTGAAGAAAGGCTTTTCAAAATGACTCATTGAGTTGCTTAAATTTATTATGAAAATGCCTGCACTGATTTGTTTACATTTTCACATTGTTTTACGATTAGAAATAATAAATTGTCATTGCAAATTCAATCTGACATTTTCTTTTGTGAACCAAATAAAAATATACAATGGCATATAATTAAGGAATAAATTTAATAATTACCCAATTTACATGTATAAGGTATAAACTTGGTTGGGACAGTTTACGCTTTATAAATCGCAATGCGTAAACTGTTCCAACCCAGGTTATACTGTATAACTTGGTTAGCTTTTAAATTCATTCCTTATAATTTAATTTTCATTATTTAGTGTAAGAAAAAAAGATAACTGCCCTTTAAAAAATGACTTCAAATTGTACAAAATTTAAATGTAACGTCAGGCAGATCAATACGTTTTTGACGTAAGTCATTGTGACGTAGGCAAACCCAATTTATACGATATAAAGTAAATTTTTTATCCAATCAAATACCCGTAATAACCAGAATTAAATTATTTTAAAATGAAGTATGCTTATACCATTTTAATGCCTTACTGTGGTATCAATTCTTTTCCATTTTGGGCTTACAATAACATCGTGTATAGAGCAAAGAAGTGATGTAAAAATGATACCTACTGATGAGCCTTTTATTTCATGACTTCAATCACATTTAGTACTGTCTTGTTTACATATAATGTACTTACCAAAATAAGAGTTTTTTTAAGAGGTGACAGGCAGTATGTTGACCTACTTCTTTATATAGAAATACTATAACTTACATCAGAATTATTCTTGATAACATACATCTGCCTTCAACATTTTTTTAAGGAATGAATTTAATAGCTACCCAATTTATACAGTATAAACTGGGTTGGGGCAGTTTACGCTTTATAAACCACAAAGCAGTTTATAAAAAAGCATAAACTGTTCCAACCCAGTTTATACCGTATAAATTGGGTAGCCATTAATTTCATTCCTTATAATTTAATTTTCATTCATTTAGTGTAAGAAAAAAAAGATGATTGGCCTTAAAAATGACTTCAAATTGAACAAAATTTAAATGTAATGTCAGGCGGATCGATACGTTTTCGACTCAAGTCATTGTGACATAGGCAACCCAATTTATACGATATAAAGTAATTTTTTTTATCCAATCAAATACTGTGTTATAACCAGAATCAAATTATTTGATAGTAAAAAATCTCACCAAATGAATGCAACTAACTTTTTATTTCCCCTCAAAAAGTTTTCTTAAACTTTCCATAAAAAAGTTCAAGCATCTTTAAGAAAATCCTAGCAACTCCCTGTTTTCTCCTTAAAATTATTTATTTTGCTTCCAAGATAAAAAGACTGTATGTACATACTTCAAAAGCTCCTTGACCTTTCTGTCCTTAGCCAGGAGATAGGAATAGAGATCCATGTTCTTCATATGCATGGGATCCAGGGCATGAATCTAGTGTTAACAGAGTCAATAAATCACAATATATATAAAGTACGGGATCCAGGCATGTATCTAGTGACAACAAAGTTAATAAAGTCAAATCACAATAAATATAGTATCATAAATGAATATTAATTTTTATAGGTAACAGCTTATCCTTGATATAGGTATATTTAGAAAAAAATCTACTAGATAAGGATAAACTAAATAAAACACATTAATAGCACTATAACATCCAGTAGTATCCAGTGGATGTTACATAATAATTATATATAAAAAAATATTTATTTACAAACTAGGACTTTGATCCCCATGAAAATTGATGAAAACCACAGTACTGGTTATGGCAAGAACAGTGACGAAACCTTTGTGTGACACTTACTCTCTGGAACAGTGACAGAGTCTGTGTGTGATACATGTACTTACTCTCTAGAACAGTGACAGAGTCTGCGTGTGATACTTACTCTCTGGAACAGTGACAAAGCCTGTGTGTATTGTCCATCGTAGAACTTAGCCTCCGCCAGACTGTCCAGGAGCTGTGTGTTGTCATGGAGATAGGACGTATTGTCCAGCGAGGACAGAGTGGCTATGGCTGACATGTAGTCCCTCTGTGATAACTGAGCCTGGCCTTTAATCCACAAGGACAACCTAAAACAACAGTAGAAAATGCAATAGCATTCAGTAACCATAAGTGGCTCAAGGGCCAATGAATGACCTATGCCTTGCTGTTCTTAGAAGATGATAACAATATATATGATATATTCTTCAAAAAGCATAGGGAAAATCATAACAATATGTGCTGATTAAATTATTACATGAGACTGGACTTATCATGTGAACCAGAATTATATTGTTCTCACCAATCTGAGCTGTTGTGGGCTTATCATGTAAACCAGAATTATATTGTTCTCACCAATCTGAGCTGTTGTGGACTTATCATGTGAACCAGAATTATTTTGTTCTCACCAATCTGAGCTGTTGTAGACTTATCATGTGAACCAGAATTATTTTGTTCTCACCAATCCGAGCTGTTGTGGGCTCCATTCATCACCAGGGCTGCTACATCTGGTCCCTTCACCCCCAGGGACATCAGTCCAGTCATGGCCTCCAAGGCTAAAGGGCACTCCCTGTCAATACAGTAATAGAAATCTTCAACTCTTGTTAACTGTTTCCTCTATCAGTAGCATTCTTTAGGAGCACTTTCCAATTGTTTCTATAATTAGTAACATACCTGAAAACAATTTTATTGGTGTTTAGAGTTTATGCAAGTGATATAAATGTGGATCTCTTTAAAGCTACAAGGGTTTCCATTTATATTAACACAGCCTTGGTTCTCTGAAGTCATTGTGGGTTTCTATAACTTATAACATACCTGAAACCTCGTTGTAGTTACTGAAGGTTTCTATAATTAGTAACATACCTGAGAACCTCTTTGTAGCTGGTAATGGCTGACCGGTCCATGCCCACCCTAATGTAGAGTTTAGCCAGGGCAAGGTTGATTTTAGGGGTTCTCTGTTTAGAACTTATGCCCTGTAACTGAAACAGAACATGGGAATATACAGCTATGGTAAGGAAAACATCATGCATTTTTAATCATTATTTTTTCTGACCAAAACAAATGCTTTTCTTTCCACTTTTTGATCCATTACATCAAATACTGAATTTCATGCACCCTAATTTTTAATAGCTTCATCAAGATTCTGATGAACTTCAGTATATAAGTGGACTAATGTTCAGCAATCCATATATATTAGTTTTAAATAATGTTTACTTTGGAAAATGTGACAAAATCTATATAAAAACATAAAAGATTTTTTCCCCACAAACATTGACCTCCTTCAAAAATGCTTTACGATATTGAATCTTAATGAATATCAACATACAGCTATGTAATGAAAATAAGATCATTTATGACTTTAAGCAAACCAATACAGATTAATAAATCCATATCTGAATTCATTTTTAACAGACACACATAAGCACTTACATATATGTAGTATCATTTCAATTGATGGAATGCTAGAATTGTTTACTAGGACTTGATATGAGAACAGACACCTGCATGACTTTACCAGATGTAAATTAGAGGAAACTGTACAAGCCTTAAGATTACTATACTCTGTCTATCACCACTGTTGAAACAAACTGTTGTGGTTTAAGAACTTAATTAAGGAGCAGCCATTTACACAATATACTTATTCAACATATTTACTGTGTAAGGGTTCCACTGTATGTATATATGAGTCCACCTTGCCATAACCATGACTTCTCTACACTGTTAAGTTTATCTTACCATAACCATGACTTCTCTACACTGTTAAGTCTATCTTACCATGGTTTCTCTACACTGTTAAGTCTATCTTACCATAACCATGACTTCTCTTCACTGTTAAGTTTATCTTACCATGACTTCTCTACACTGATAAGTCTATCTTACCATGGCTTCTCTACACTGTTAAGTCTATCTTACCATGGCTTCTCTACACTGTTAAGTCTTTCTTACCATGACTTCTCTACACTGTTAAGTCTTTCTTACCATGACTTCTCTACACTGTTAAGTCTATCTTACCATGACTTCTCTACACTGTTAAGTTTATCTTACCAAAGCTTCTCTACACTGTTAAGTCTATCTTACCATGACTTCTCTACACTGTTAAGTCTATCTAACCATAACCATGACTTCTCTTCACTGTTAAGTCTATCTTACCATGACCTCTCTACACTGTTAAGTCTATCTTACCATGGCTTCTCTACACTGTTAAGTCTATCTTACCATGGCTTCTCTACACTGTTCAGTCTTTCTTACCATGACTTCTCTACACTGTTAACTCTATCTTACCATGACTTCTCTACACTGTTCAGTCTATCTTACCATGGCTTCTCTACACTATTAAGTCTATCCTACCATGGCTTCTCTACACTGTTAAATCTATCTTACTATGACCATGGCTTCTCTACACTGTTAAGTCTATCTTACCATGACTTCTCTACACTGTTAAGTCTATCTTACAATGACAATGGCTTCTCTACACTGTTAATTCTATCTTACCATGACCATGGCTTTTCTACACTGTTAATTCTATCTTACCATGACCATGGCTTCTCTACACTGTTAAGTCTATCTTACCAAGACTTCTCTACACTGTTAAGTCTATCTTACCATAGCTTCTCTACACTGTTAAGTCTATCTTACCATGACTTCTCTACACTGTTAAGTCTATCTTACGATGACCTCTCTTCACTGTTAACTCTATCTTACCATGACTTCTCTACACTGTTAAGTCTATCTTACCATGACTTCTCTACACTGATAAGTCTATCTTACCATGGCTTCTCTACACTGTTAAGTCTATCTTACCATGGCTTCTCTACACTGTTAAGTCTTTCTTACCATGACTTCTCTACACTGTTAAGTCTATCTTACCATGACTTCTCTACACTGTTAAGTCTATCTTACCATAGCTTCTCTACATTGTTAAGTCTATCTTACCATGACTTCTCTACACTGTTAAGTCTATCTAACCATAGCTTCTCTACACTGTTAAGTCTATCTTACCATGGCTTCTCTACACTGTTAAGTCTATCTTACCATGGCTTCTCTACACTGTTAAGTCTATCTTACCATGGCTTCTCTACACTGTTCAGTCTTTCTCACCATGACTTCTCTACACTGTTAACTCTATCTTACCATGACTTCTCTACACTGTTCAGTCTATCTTACCATGGCTTCTCTACACTGTTAAGTCTATCTTTCCATGTCTTCTCTACACTGTTAAGTCTATCCTACCATGGCTTCTCTACACTGTTAAATCTATCTTACTATGACCATGGCTTCTCTACACTGTTAATTCTATCTTACCATGACTTCTCTACACTGTTAAGTCTATCTTACCATGACCATGGCTTCTCTACACTGTTAATTCTATCTTACCATGACCATGGCTTTTCTACACTGTTAAGTCTATCTTACCATGACCATGGCTTCTCTACACTGTTAAGTCTATCTTACCATGACTTCTCTACACTGTTACGTCTATCTTACCATAGCTTCTCTACACTGTTAAGTCTATCTTACCATGACTTCTCTACACTGTTAAGTCTATCTTACGATGACCTCTCTTCACTGTTAAGTCTATCTTACCATGACTTCTCTACACTGTTAAGTCTATCTAACCATGACTTCTCTACACTGTTAAGTCTATCTTACCATGGCTTCTCTACACTGTTAATTCTATCTTACCATGGCTTCTCTACACTGTTAAGTCTATCTTACCATGACTTCTCTACACTGTTAAGTCTATCTTACCATGACTTCTCTACACTGTTAACTCTATCTTACCATGGCTTCTCTACACTGTTAAGTCTATCTTACCATGACTTCTCTACACTGTTAATTCTATCTTACCATGACCATGACTTCTCTACACTGTTAATTCTATCTTACCATGACCATGGCTTCTCTACACTGTTAATTCTATCTTACCATGACCATGGCTTCTCTACACTGTTAAGTCTATCTTACCATGATTTCTCTACACTGTTAAGTCTATCTTACCATGACTTCTCTTCACTGTTAAGTCTATCTTACCATGACTTCTCTACACTGTTAAGTCTATCTTACCATAGCTTCTCTACACTGTTAAGTCTATCTTACCATAACCATGACTTCTCTACACTGTTAAGTCTATCTTACCATGGCTTCTCTACACTGTTAAGTCTTTCTTACCATGACCATGACTTCTCTACACTGTTAATTCTATTTTACCATAACCATGGCTTCTCTACACTGTTAAGTCTATCTTACCATAACCATGGCTTCTCTACACTGTTTGGTGGCCATCAGACATTGATATACTTTGTATTTCACCTCCACCTCATCTGTCAGCTCCTACAAACAACAGTCATGCAAACATCAACTACAGATACAGTGAATACATTTGTATTTTTCCTATTACTGCAATGTGTTTTTTGATCAGCCTCAAACAGTTTTTTTTCCTCTCTGAGAGAAACCCTATTGAGAATTTTAATGGTTGCTATCTTAATACTTTTATCATTCTTCTAATATTATGTCATCGATTGGGTAGTTAAGTGAACTAAGCAGTTTAATAATGTTTGCTAGTTTGAAAATAAGAAAAATTTTAATTAAGCAAACGTAAAAAAGTTTCCATAATATATACTTATTAGTTTTATTTTTTCTGACTCTTGTTCATAAATGTTTGATGTGGCAAGCCTGGTTATGGAACCTACTGTATATATGATATGATATCAACATTTCAGAAGAATTTTACTAAAACGTTTTTTCACTTACTATAACTGGTGATGGTTTGTCCTTCACTTTTTCTTTGTTCAGGGCTTTTCTCAGGTGAAGAGCTTTCTTATAAATATCCTGTGTACAAAAAAAAATAATAATAAATACGAGGGTTGTCCCACAAAAATGCAAACTTTCTAGATAACTCTTTAACTACACAACCAAAATTACTCATTTTTCGAACATTATTGGGAAATAATATTTTCGTTATTTTGAATTAATATTAACATGAAGTTGTGATATCATATGAAAAAAGAAACAGCATTTAAATGGGGTTAAATATTGTAGTAGTTGGCGCACAGAAATTTTTTCACTTTTAGAAATAGCATTGTCATCAATGTTTTGTGTATTGCCCGATATAAACAAAAATTTAATGTGACAATAAAAGCTCTATGATCTAGAGTACCATTTTGTAATAGTTCATTATTATTACATGAAAGGCAATTATATGATGTTATATATATGCATAAACTTTCCGTTAGCTATTGTTACATTGGTGACATTGGACGTTAGTGCAGCACACCAAATTAACATTCAGTACTTTATTGAGTGGGGTTTGATTCCTGTCCACAAGGGAAAAGAGATAAAAACAATGGAATGACACAAATAGTTGTCTTAAGCACTGGTTTAAGGATGACTAGACAATTATTTGATGGTAGAGATGCTTAGTAGCCCACCAAATATGCCAAACAGAAAAGGAAGGAGCTTGTCATACATAGAGATCGTTGTATGACCAGGTTATGCTTGGGGCAGGGAAGTTGTCTATTCAAAGAATTAATTTCATGATCTTTCGATGCTTATAATATGTCCATGATGGGTACTTTGCTTATCAACTAAAAATCAAATGAGTGTCAATTTTCTGCATCATTAAAATTTGAAAGAAAAGAGCCTGAACAAATTTACAAATGCCATAAGTTATGTTTGATGTTGTCGGTATTGTGCCAACAGCTATTATGTAAGATTCATTTAACTAAGAGGAAAATGTTACTTACAGAGATATTTCGTTGAAATTTCTACGTAATATTCAAAAAATCTTAATAATAATGTATGCCAATTCTTAATTCTATAACATTAGTGAAGCATAAAATAATATTAAAAATGTTTGCATTTTCCTGGGACAACCCAAATAAATAAATAAAACAAGGTAAAAGATGCCTCAAACTGAATATGAGGAACTGTCCTATCATGGAAATATGTGATACACATTTTTTTCCGCTGTGCAAGGTTATGAATATTTATTTAAACTAAACATTTGCAATCTATCAAGAGAAGATGCCAGGATAAACTGAATTTACTGTATTTTGTTGAACCAGAGCTATTTCTTTTTCTGTCTTGATTCATGTTTATTTACACATTAACAAGATACAGAGTTTCCAGAACTTTCAGATGATACCCAATGTGTCTTATAAAATAAATCGTCATACCTCTGCCTTGTGAAATTCTTGTAAATGATACAGAGCATTGCCATAGTAGACGATACACTGATATTTCTGTGGGAGATTCATCAGCTCTGCCTCCGGATTGTTATCACACAGCGTCAGAGCTATGGAAGCCTATAAAAATAAAATATATGATTTATAATTATATTATAAATTATATGCATATAGAAAATTAATTGGTTTTAACACAGACATAATCTTTGATTTTCTAGCTCACTGAACTATGAAAACACGATAAAATTAACAAAAAAAAAAAAACCCCAAAAAACAAAAAAACAAAAAAAAAAAACATCAACATTTACAGTGCTAAACAGGTTGGGCACACCCCACCAAATGGTCATTTATCCCCCGTTTGGTGGACAATCTCCCATATCGGAGACGAATTTTACTGACCATTTGGGAGAGAAAAATGGTTGTGTTCAATTCCATAGAATGGCGTAGAATGGCGCATAATTTAACCATGTGGAATAAAATCTAGATATTTATCGATGTTCTGGGTGAAAAAAATCGGAAATTCAACGTGCAATTTTTTGCGCAGAGTCGTTCAAACATTTGACAAAAAACGTCACATACGTAAACAAGTGCAATGATTCTCAGTTTTTACTTAAAAAGAAAATTCCCTCCTTCTCCAACGATGCTACACCTGTCAATCATGTTCTTTACTTTCAATTTCGATTATCCGGGCAACCAATCAAATAACTCAAACCAATAAAAACGATGACCTTTTTATAACCTGGTCAAAAGTCGGATTTAACTACGGAGGCACGTTTGTGTTAATTCTCAATTAGGAAATCAGAAAAAAAATAAGTTTTCGCCTTTATTTCATTTTATTTTGTACGTATTGGCTTTGTTCTTTATAAAAATAGTAAATTAAGTTAGATTATGATATAATTATTGTTTTTAAAACGATGTACTTAGAACAAAAACAAGAATAATTGCAAATATCACTTTGTAAATATTTTATTGAAAATTATTTATCAAATATATTAAATTTATCAGTAATATACATATTAAACCACAAAAGGTCGCATGGAATATGGAACTTCATCCTAAAAGAAAAATAACAACAGATATTATGTTCAAGTGTAGAAAAATTTAACTTTATAGCAATAAGTGCCCACCATACCAGTAAAGTAATGAGGAGCTCGTGTTTAACGGGATTTTATGGAAATAAATATTGACGAAGATCCAAAAAGTGATTGAAACTTATCAAGAGTTAAACCACTGGATAAAATAGAATTTTTATCCTACTAGACACAATCAAAATTTTTTTTGATCGATTGATCAAGAAGTTCGGCTGTTACGGACAACTATGGGTATCGTTTTTATGAAGTTATGGAGAAATTGCACATGGAAAATCGACCGAACTATGTTAATTTTCCGAGGAATATTTTCAATAAAATTCCCCAATGTCTATGCAAATGCGCTTTTGCTTTATTTTAATAAAATTTGGAATAGAATAAAAAAGTCCACCATTTGATCAGTAAAAGTTGTCTCCGATATGGGAGATTGTCCACCAAACGGGGGATAAATGACCATTTGGTGGGGTGTGCCCAACCTGCTAAAAGCCTGTACTTTTGAGGTCTTAGCAGTCACCAACCCCTTGTAGCTTTATTTTTCTTTACAAATAAACAAATGAAAATCTTATAAATCCACTAAAAATTACCAAATGCTTTAAGTCGTTGTGAAGTTCACAGTCGTGAAGTTGTTTAACATGTTCAAATAAATTCATTTTTGTAAATTTTCGAGCCGATTCTGATCTGCAGTGTTGTGGAGTTAAGAATTAGTGGAATATTGAACCCGATCTCAAATCGAAGCAGAGGTATTGCGATATTACAGCATGCATAAACCAATGCCGTAACTACCATTGAGGCAGGTGAGGCAAATGCCTCACTAAAATAGTTTTCTGAAAAGTGAAAAAAAGTTTTACTTTGAACTTTAATTACATTGTACTTATGTGTGTCTTTACACAGGCACTTGGTGTATGGAACCAACACCCCCCCCCCCCTTTTCCATTTTTTTTAAGCGCTAAGCGCAGCGCAAAGCGCTTACTGTCATCTTAAATCTACTTCCGTTCGCGATCCAGCGCCACTAAACAAGTTAGACAACTCCACTGAGTTTTCTAAAAATATGCAACTGGAAATCCCCGACTCTCTTTCAGCTATTTTAGTGTAATACTGAGTTACGTGAAGTTCTAATAATAGGAGTCAATTAGTAAGGTAAAGATATGCATGTACATTGTACGAAAATTCACTGTTAGTAGATAAGGGCGGTTGTTGTCGGCACTCATCACTTGTGTACCATGTAGCTAACAACTGCTGCATCTATGGCGCAAATACTTAATTTAAAACGGTTTATTATATGTCATGTACATGTAATGTAGTGATTGAATAAGTACATATTTTTAAAACTCAGATGGGATTTTAATAAGTATTTAAAACTCAAACTGGAATTGGGTTATATCTAGGAGAAAATTTCGCATAAAATCGATTTACAATGTACTTACATATGTACGTTCTATATAACTTATATCCATATAAACTATTATTTCTTCTTCTAGACCCATATTTCAGGCAATGTAACTAAAACAAGTCTTCCTATTATCACTCTTGCACCATGCAGAGAGCTATCAATGAAGTTGATTTTCGCATCTCAGTATCAATTAGTAACAGACTGGAATGCATTCATGGACTGTCTATACTTGTGTTGTACTCGATACTTTGTAATATGGGTAAAAAATATTATGTAAAATAATTCGCAAGGAAAGGCAGTTTGAGGCTGTACGTACATGTAGGGCACATGGTGGCTGCGTTTTCAACGAATCCACTCAAATAAGAAAACTATTTTCTCGGAATATTGTGCTTTAAAATTGTGTGTGCAATGCGCAAGATATGGCGAAAAATGCAAAAACCTTAATTAAACGTTCTTAGCAATGGACAGGAATAGCGCCGATGAAATGTTAAGCAAACAGTATAATATTTGTATTAGGAAACTAGGAAGAAATAGTTTATGTACAGACGTGCGAGTGTTGCCGATTTGACTGCTAAGCAATTTAATGAGGACTACATAAGAGCAGAATAAAACAATGTTGTACACCTTCATGAAGACTTATTAATACTTGAAATTAATATACTGTATTTTCTTTCTTGTGTTGTTGAATTATTTATCATGGAAATAGTAGAAAAAAATACAGGCAATTATTTTCAGTATTCTTTTTTAACTAACACAACAGTGCTGTGGATGTTTTTTCCCTCTAAACACGTTTTGCGTGGTAGATAAAATCACACATAAACCAAGTAAAGAATGGTGTAAAGTATCAAACGTCCGTAAAAAAAAATTAATGAATTAAGCACTTTAAGATATTTCAACAATAGTCCAAAATACTTTTGGGGGTTTAATGACATATTTTTAATCCGAAAAAGAAAAGTATAAAATTTTTATTTCAAAAAAGTAATATTTACAAATCAGATATAACATACTGTGAGATCAACAGAAAAGACTATTTTTTGTTGCAAATATATTATAAATCATGCATATGAAAATCAAAGATAAAAGGATAGCACCGAATGTTTTATCATCAATCAAAGAAGACAAATATAATATCTTTATACTCAAAATGTATATTTACCAATTATCTCTGACAAAAGACCGTTAACTCTACGGATGCTCATTTCATTGCCATAGAGTTTTGTCACATGACTCTTGTTACAAACATGATGCCGATATGCTGTGAAATGAATGTGAAGTGTTCAAAATGTATAATACAAAACTGTAGCATATTCAAAACAAAATGTAATACATAGTCTAAGTTTTATTTATCTTTAATAAATACTGGACGCTCGTAGCAATTGTGTAAATATCTTACACACTCCATTAATGTATTTCTTGTAAAATCCTTTCCATAAAATCGTAAATTTATAAATCGCTTATGAATATGAAAAAAAAAGAGATATACTAAAAACAATTTAGTGAGAATACTATTATTCGATATTTTTGAGATGTTTTATTCTTAACTTTAATAAATAATTATGTTATCAATATGGAAATGTTTATCGACGCAATAAACAAACAACATCTTTATTTTCCGATTGCAGTTTCTAAAATAAGAGCACAGTCACTAACAGCCAATCTTCAATTTGAAACACTTGCAAACACGGAATGAATTTATTATTAAGAATTATAACCAGAACATTTTAGCTTTCGGTGTTGCACAAAAATGAGAAGAATTTCAGCGAAATATAAAGTGTTCATAATTATTTAGAAATATACACTTTCCAGCAAATGTATAGCTACATTTACAGTCTAAATTTGGTCGGAAAACTCGTCGACCATCCCCCTCCAATAAATTGCAATTTATACGCAAAGCTACCTTTTATAGACTCTTATAAGGAGATGGAGAAAGAAAAATACGTTTTTTTTCTTGTTTTTTTTTAATATTAGGTTTGAGAAATACATTAATAATTATTGCTGTTTGGAGTAAATATCTGCCATTTAATTTGTATAGATTTTTTTTTTTTTTTTTTTTTTTTTTTTTTTTTAGAAACGAAGAAATATTTTCCTGCAATTTCATGTATGTGAAATTGATTGATCTTTTGACAGAAGAAAATGTAAAATGCTTAAAATAAAAAAGCATACTTGACAATGTTGAATTTCATATTCCAGTGGGAAATTTTCATAACTCACATGTTTGATTATGTATCAAACAACTGTGCTCGCCCTAGCGCAGCCGCACTGTTTAGATATTGCTTAAATGCCAATACAACAGGCAATTTAAATTCAACAAAATAATTCTGATGAATTTCAAATTGCAATATGTTTAGCGCTTTCCAGTACTTTCAGTACTTTGATTCCTTTTTAAATCTGATACATCAGTCGAAAACGGTATATTTAAAAACAACATATAGAGACAAAAGAGTTACGTTATTGATAACATATAGTGCATATTAGAATACAAAAATAGGAAAAAAGGGACTCGACCCCAGATTTAAAAAGAAAAAAAAATTGAAAAGTGGGGGGGGGGGATGTCCCAAGTGTATGTGATCTATATTTCTAATAAATGCTTTATAAAAAGTTAAAACATTACTGAGGGCAGTCATCGACCCTGTGTTCATTTACTGAGCAAATCAGAACTGTTATAAACAAAGTAACATATAGCTAGCTTGTGGCCTTTTATGAACCTTAGTAACTCTCAGTGTTATTATACCTCTAATGTTATTATACTATATAAAATAGAATACCATAAAACTGTTTATTTTCCCGAGAAGGCAGAGGCATAGCTGCCATTTGGCACTTAAGACACGTGTCTACACTTATCATTTCAGAAAAAATATAAGCAAAAATGTAAAAAAAAAAAAAAAAAAAAAAAAAAAAGAAGAAGAAGAAACAACCAGCTTTTTCTATGAACAAACTTGAATTTGTATAAAATTTGTTGTAAAAAATTGCATGATTTATGTCATTATTAAGGTCTTCCGTTCCAACGGAAGACCTTCTACTGATTCTGATGGTTAAGATTATTATTCTTTTTTTTTTTCTTCTTTTTCCTAGACGCCAACTTTGAGACCTCATATCTCGCTCATTTCTCAACGGATTTTGCTTAAATTTGCAGAGTTTATAGACGTTACAAAACTCTATCAGAATGCTGTCAAACAATTCAAAAAGTCACTTCCGCTTTTGAGTTATTGCCCTTTAAATGAAAAATTATTAGGCTTCATTTCCAGACAAAGGCTCCGAGACTACAATAGCTAGAGCAGAAATTCTACCGAATTTAGATAATAGAAGGATTGAAGTTGTGCACATCGGTTTTTGTTTTTCGATTTCTGTATTCAAAATGGCGCTAATTAGGGGTCAAAATTTAGAACGCCTAAAAGAGCGAAAATTTAGACATATTTTCCTTTGTATCTTTAAAAGTAAAAATATTTTGATAAGACATGTAGAATAAAAGTTGTGCACAATTTCAAGGCCTTTCATTTGACACCACTAAAAAGGGGCTGGGCCTTCAAATTAGGGATCTGGAGCCCTTTAAAGGTTTTGCTTTATAACTCAAAAACGGTAAATATTTCGAAATGGCTGTCGTTAAAAAAGTTGTTCTTTAACATCTTACTGATTTCATGAAAATGTTATTTTGTTCGAGTCTTGTGTTTTAAATGCGCCAGAAGCTTGACCCATATACAGGTAAGTGTTTTCATTCAGCAAGTAAACGAGAGCTCTTCATGCGTGTAATTAAAATAAACTTACTATAAATAATAAATCTGGCTACATTAGATGCTAATATTCTTTAGAATAAGGTTCTTGAAGTGTTTTGTGCTTTATTTCCAAGTTATTTTTTGACAACTTTTCGTTTTATTTCATTTTTTTCAAAGTCGAATAAACCAGTCTACTAAAAAAAGGGGAAAAAAGATAACCTTTTCTTCTTATCATATAAAAACAAACAATATACTGAGAAAATAAAACATAACTTTGAAGCATAGACTATTTACAGGCATTAAGTGTGCGCCTTTTACATTCACCTTGTGTGTTTACAATTATGTAACACCTCCCTCGATAGCGCGTGGCAAAGGAGGTCACCGGGGATCAATCGGCGTGTGTGATCCAGCGACCTAGTCATACACAAAACAAATCATAGAATGGCCATTCCAAATTCATTTTGTAAACTAAGTCATGAGTGGATAAATATGTTGAATCTTTCAGATTATTTCATAATATCTTTGATTAAATCGCTGGTGCATTTTATTTAATATTTTATTCGCTGAATTACAGGAAAGTTGCA